AACTTAAAGGCTCAAAAATGCTAAAATCGTTGGCTTTCGAATATTTTCTGTATAACAACAATGCCAGTTGCTCGGATGAGCCACGTTGACTATTCGTACCGCGTGCAAGGATGATAAACGACTATTGGCGGGCGTGGAGCCTAAATGATTGGAAAGACACCAATATATTAGATACCAACCTTCTTATTTGTGCAACCAGATCTGTGAAGTTCCATTCCCAGGCGTACATCTTAACCACGCGGATTCCCGTAATGATCTCTTTCATTATCTCCAATCGTTTGTCGGTCACTGCAGCGGACTGTTGGCGTATCTTTCCAGCCTTATGAGCTGCAAATGATCCATACGCAATAACAAGAAGGAAGAAAGAAGCTCCTATTAAGGCCTGCCATGCAACTAAGTACCACACAAGAACCACGGAGGCAACAATGTCCAGTGGAACAAATGGAAGTGAAAAAATGGCGTAACCCATTATCTCAATGGCTTGAGCATCGTTAGAAACAAGATTGATCGTGTTTTCTGAAATGGTGTCTTCTAAAGTGTTTCTATTTAAGGTAAGAATCTGGAAAAAAGAAAAATACAATGTTTTTTATTACATATTCGGAGCTTGCAGCAGTTTTCGATTCAGTCTCATCAGACTGAAACCAAAGTAATCACTCTGACGAATAACAAATGACACAGACAAGCCAGTGAACCAATCAAAAACCAAAGCAAATACATGTAGCCGACGCAAAGCGCGGGAAAACGTTTGCGAGCGAGTCACGATTAGTTTCAGTTTAACTTCTGATTGAATAACAAAGTGGCGCCAGTATTTTTTAAGGCAATTGCTTAAAGTGGTAGTGCAAAACAAAGTAAATACCACTCTAAGCTGATCATAGCCTTCGTCGTTCGCGTTCCACAGACTACGCAGAACCTGGTCATATCACGTTCTTGTTTTACAGAGGATCGCAAAGAAATGTACAAAGATTTTTAACGCACGAGCACGGCTATTGTTTTGCTCATTAAACATTTTGTTTGGTGACGTTCCCGTTGCCGTCGTCGTCTTGGTTTGCTAAAGCTCCTTAACATAGCGTAGGCGACAGTTTGCATTTCTGTCCACATGCTCAGAACCAGTCCCTCACGCCAATCAACAACAAAGCACTGTTTTCGAAATAAGTTACAACGAATACTTTCTTATTAGGTAGACATCATACTTGGTGCTTGAGGATTGTTAAAAAAGGATAATATCAGAAGTTAAGAAATTAACACGTCATGTGCATATATCATGTACAAATGATAGCTTTTCCTATTGTGTTACGCCTCATTAGTGTCCGATTTCTGATGAAAATTACTTGCCTTTTTATAAACTAGTCCAGTCATCCCTACTTTCAGTTTGGTCGATATTATATCCATCTTGAATATTCCGTGATTTGAACATACAGTTCTTATAAAGGTAACGAGAGCAATACCAATGATGATTGGCAGCGTTGTCTTGTAACTGATGTCTGTAGAAGTAGAAATGCTTTTCAAGAAGAACCACACAATCAAAGGAAAGAGATTAAATGTTATAGAATGAAATAGCCTGAGAAATGCTACAGTGATATAGTCTCTGCAGGGAATAACTCTCATCATGGCCCTCCACAGGCGAGGCTTTGATCGGTTCTGTTCAGACGCTCTTTCCTCTGCCAGCCATTCCCTCTCCAAGTCAGCCACCAATCTTTCTGCTTGGTATGAAGTTTCTAGTGCCAACAAATGTTTCTCTTCTAATGGTTGTTTGCTTCCGAGTTTCAGAACATCGTTTATCCAGGAGGCAGTCAACAGCGAGAGAAAACCTGCCTGGTCTCTTGGATTACGCACGACAGTATCTTCCATTCCTCAATTTCAATGGCCTACTTCGGAAACCTGACAGCAGTAGGAGAGAAAGAAAGACAAGCAAAGTTACAAACGCAAAATTCTGTTTACTTGTCTTTGACTCTCTACGTGCAGATCAATTATTGGTTCAAATCCACAGGAGGGACAAAAAGTTCTTAAGTTGTTTTACTTGGTTCATGGAAATCAAATCACCTCAACGACAAAGAGGGATTTTACTGGTTTTATCGCTGTATGTTTGTACTTTGGCTTATGAAACCTGCGCTTTTATAAAGAGAGAGCAGCAGTTTATTAGTTTTATCGGTGTTTTTTGCACTGTAGGTTTTTACTTGCGTCGTGAAAACTGACCTGGTTTATGACAGTGTGAGCGTAAACAGAAAGAGGGATTTCAGTTATCAGTTTTACCGGTGTGTGTGTGTGTGTTTTTTTTCCTTTTTTTTTCTTGTTTTTTTTTTTGTACCTAGGCTCTTACATAAGTCTGGCTCGATTTGTTCTCCTTCGGATATGTTCTTAGAGTAGACACAATGTTTTGGTTCGATTTTCTTCCTTTTAGTCATTACCAATCCATTCAAAACGATGAGGATCCTTTGGGTCATTTCATTGGGATGAATCTCCAGAAATTTCTAACTCAAAGTCACATTCAATCAGACAGCCACAGATTCTTGTCTCTAAAACCACCTTTCCCTCTTAACTTAATATTACTTCTTTAATCAGTGTCTTGCTATTTTGGTAACCTGCTATTTTCAGGTTTGCTTCAATTTAAAGATGACTTTGTACGTGGCCAAAATAACTCAAATGCCTGACTGAGCTCCTTCAAAGATGCTCCAATCGACCAGTTTTAGGTAAAAATCAACCTGTGCATATTTGCGGGAAGGAGACTGCCTTTTCAAAGAGTGTAGCCAATCAAATCATATGTCTTTAGAGCCGCCTTTTCCTTGTTACCAAGCCTTCGCCGACTACAGGGGAAGGGTGGCTCTGGTGAACAGAGTAACATCAACATTGAGTCATCATTGGTCATCCTACAAGGCTACAATTTTTACACGCACGAATACCATACAACTGTATACGCCGAACTAACGAGGGTGTGCTTGGCTGTTTTTTCCGTAAACTTCCTTATTATTATACAGTTATTTATACAGCACGTAAGGTGTTGGGAAGGGGACCATATTTGTACACGGAAATAACTCAAAAAGATAACTCTTTCTTTCTGGTTTTCATTTCTCTTGTTCAGTTATCATATATATATACATAGGAGGATAGGACATATATATATATATAGGAGGACAGGACACTTAATGCTCACAGTGCCTCTCTCCACCCAGGTGTATAAATCAGGGGGATATACCGACGAATTTCATGTCGGGCCCCTGCGATGGACTAGCATCCCATTTAGGGGGGAGTAGAAATACTCCTAGTCCCTTCATGCTTCAGAAACAGGAGATAAGCATCGGCCTTATGGGCCACTTGGCTCGTATGCAGACGTTACCTGAGCCTATATTTACGTACGCATAAATGATATTATTTGAAGAACAGTTCTCCAGTGAATCATGACTAATTACCATACCCGCAGGCTATAATGTATTGAAAGTGCTGGGCTAACAGTTCTCTTCGTTGGACCACTCTTGTGCTGAATTAAAATAATAGGACTAATTACTATTTATAATTAATCCGACCTTGATAGGATCTGTTTTCACACAAGCGTCTGACTTTTTATTCCGTCTTCACTTAACAATATGAGTTACACCCATAAAATGGCAGACGCATTATCAATCGTATGGAAACGTGCAGTTTCTTGCATAATACAAACCAATTTTCGCTGTTAGGCTTTGAAGGACTCTCGATAAAATCAGTTAGAAAACACGCTTTTACTTCTTAGTGGACTGAATGTTTGGCAAGGTTTATACAAACATCAAACGAAAAGGACGGTCAACAAAACACCAGAACAATATCAGCAAATATCCCCAGGCAATGCTAATGAGTGGTAATGACTGCTTTCAGGACTGATACGTACTGGTGCATAATTACTGTTATGGCAGGGCATATTTCAGGCTCTGAAGTAAACCAATACTCCATTGACATTTTAGTTCAAACACGGCAGGGTTATTTTGCAGAACGCAGAACGCAGCACGCCGTACGCCAAATGCACTGTTTGCTTTCGGTTTAGTAGTTTCACTCATGTTTGCTTGCGGTTAGCCTTTGTTTGTTTAAGGACAGCATTATACGGCATGTGGCGGCATAGGGTAAAATATGGACTGGACCATTGGACCCTTGGACTAGTTTTTGGACTATTTTTTGGACTATTTTTTGGACTATTTCTTGGACTGAATTTTGGACTATTGTTTAAGGGGTGGGTAGGCAGTTTTGTCAGGGGGGTGGTTTATCACATGGTCTGCCTCAGGGAGGGGTAGGTGGGTTGGGGGTAGGTAGTTTTTTTTCTTTTTGGGAGCGGTGGGTAGGTGAATTTTGTCAAAATATATAATTCTTACTCATCGAAAATCAATACATAGCATGGGGTGGGCAGGTAGGTAGTTTTGTCAGGGGAAATGGTTAATCATATGTTCCTCCTTAAGGAGGGGAGTGTAGGTAGTTTTTTCTTTTTGGGAGGGTGGGTAGGTGAATTTTGTCAAAATATATAATTCTTACTCATCAAAAATTAATACATAGGAAGGGGTGGGTAGTTTTCGTTAGGGGGAGAAGTGCTAATTACAGCACTTGTATCATTACACGTGATAAACCATCTGAAAACAATGGTCACACAACACGTATGCATGCGCACAGCCTTTAAACATGGGAGGGGAGTGTAAGTAAAAGTTGTCATCTATGAGGGGGGCGGGTTGTAATAATTATTACATACAAGTTATCAGCATTAGGGAAACTTTTTTCGATTCTTGTCCCCTAAATCGCTTATTGACTTGTGCCAACGTAACTTGTTGCTTATAATTTGCTAACATAATGGATCGTTTGCACCAGTGGGTTTCGACTATATTTCTGTCGTGGACGAGAACCGTCACAAGAACTATTTCCATTTCCTTTTATGTTGCTCTGAATGACAGCGCTCTAAAAGGGAAACAT